AAATTGTTTTGGGGGAAATTAGGTTTGAAATTCTTTGGAAAGTTATGAAGTGTCCCTTTACTAAATGGTTGTCGAAATTTTTGCGATCCAACTTGTGATGTGTCTTAGTTGTTTTCGCGCAAGTACTGAAAGTCGTTTAATAATAGTTTTTCTATGTCCGTTAATGTCTTTTAACCTCAAACCCTCCCCGCCGACTGAAGAGACAATGGCCGCGAGATCTCCTAGGAAGTGATGGTGATGACAGTGAAATTGATAATGACACACGTATCAATTGAACAAACAATATTATTGTAACATTGGAGTAATACCAATGGGTGTTTTCTCCACTCTTGATTTTTATTTTGTCTTGTTTTAATTACCTTGCTCACTGTTACTTGTTACCTACTTTAAGGTAGTTGTAATGTACTACAAATTATTTTTTAAAAAAATTAGGTTATAACAATACCCAAAACGCTTACAATTAAAAACAATAAATTTGTTATAAAATACAATAATTTCCTACTCATAAACTAATTTTCATCATGCTCATCAGGTCCGATGCAGCAAATTCACCGTTGACACGATTGGTTTCCAATATTCCTTTGAAAAACCTTTACGATGTCCTACCGACTGCGCCAGTTAAGTGTGTTGACTAAACAAGAGTCTTTTTAAAAAGAACTTTATTAGTTAAACACACTTGCAATTTGAGAAGTACCTTTCCTGTTCACGGATATGATTAATCTGAATCTGTCTTTTACAAGTGTAATGGAATAGTGAACAGGGAAGGGTCTTTTGCTTACACATAATGCGGGAAGTTTAAGAGTCGACAAGCAGCTGAGGCCATTGCCGGCTGTTTGTACTTCTTTTCCTGGACTTTCACGCATATTTTTCAATTGAAGCTGTTTTAGCGTCTCGATCTGTTACTGTCTCCGCTTTATATAGTATGAAAACAAAGTCGGTATCCTAAAGTTCTAGCTGCTTATTTGTACCTCAGGTTGTCAACTACAGAATACACACAAAACTACATTACATATATACATCACAAATATAGAAGGACGATTCACTCCTCCAGAGTACTCGATATTACTCGGGGCGTGGTCGAACCCACTCCATTCTCGCCAATAACTTACTTTAATTCCCCAGACGTAACACAATCACCCCCATAGTACTCGATATTTATCGGGGCGGGGTTAACCCCTTCCTTTCATGCTAATAAATTACTAGTTATTCAGATATCGTGAGATGCGGTCGGGTGTGATCTCATGATATCTGAATAACTATCGATTAACGGTCTCTAATCTCTACACACTAATAAATTACTTTCATTCCAATAAATTAAGATAAACACAACACCCGATACAAACAGAAGTTTGATCACTTTCACTCCTCCAGAGTGAGATATTCCTCGGGGTGGGGTATTTTATTATAAAAACACAAAAAATTCACGCATTTTAACTGGGGGCATTTAAACGAAATAAATAACATTGTTGAATTGTATAGAATGTAAAATAATCGGCCAGTCTAATTTTATTACCCGAATTTTAGAAGGTTGAGCCACTGCCAGGGTTATGCTAAAATTAATATATTAAATTTATTGTTGTAGTTCTAATTGTCTTCTAAAACCCTAACTGAACAAGGTTTCCATTTTGAACTAGTCTTAAGACAGACCGAATTGTCATCCCCTAGCGTAATAAGATTTAGATTTAATCAAACTAATTCGATTTGGTTTCGATTTATTAGCTTCCGGTTTTAGATGAAGTGATATAAAAATTTTACCCGATGCTTGCCAAGTCATGAAAGTTAACTTGTAGGGAATCCAATAGGATGATGACGTACATAGTTGAATAGATCCCATTTGAACAATTCGGCCAATTAACGAATTTCTTTCATTTGCTATTCCCGCTGTAAACCGGATCGCGGAATGAAGGAAAATCTACCAGCAACTGGAAAAAATGGAAAATCGCTTTTTTTTTTTTTTTTTTTGTAAAATTATGTTTTCACGTTTTTCCACCAGCTTTCACCCTGGCAGGAAATACAAAACGGCATCCTATGTTCCGCTTTGTTGTACGTCGTTTTTTACTTTTTATTTTACGATTTTATTAATTATTTTTATACTACATATTACAACGTACTGCAGAAATTAACAAAAAAGTCTGCTCTTTCTAACGTACATCTACTAATGCTATCCTAAGACTAAAATACTTCCCAATACATAGGAAATATTTCATTATAAAAATGATCCCAAAATTCAACAAATATACCCAACCTCCTAAAAAAATATCAAATTGAAACTGCTAAAATCCTACCTTACTACCAGTTTGGTTTCAGCTCGTTTCACTCCACCATACAACAGGTGTGGACTATCTTCTTTACTTGAGTTGAAATAAAATATTGCTCGGTCGGTATTTCTCGATGTGGCTCAAGCTTTCTGGGCATGGCACTGGTTTGCTGTTAAAGTTCAAGAACTTCTTCATTCCCTTCACCTTTTAATAATAAAATCCTGTCCCTTAGGGGCCTGACTTTTCGTCTTACAGTCTCCCTTAAAGCTGGGTACACACAGGGCAGCATCTTAGAGCTCTTCCTATTCAACGTAGCCATTGTTTCTTCTTTTTTCTCTACTTTTCTTGCTAAGCACTATCATTATTTTTACTATTATTGTGTACTTATACTTGTTGTATACTCTAGATGAGGCACATGCCCCTTTCAATGCTTTTTAAATCAAATAAATAAATAAACAATTTACTCAGGAATACACTTTATAAATTAAACATAGCACAATGTTCCTTTACAAAATTTTAAAATAATCATAGCACGAAATGGAATTTATTGTTCAACCAGTATCTTGAGCTTCGGATTACAGGCTTATAGCCATTGTAGAAAAAAAAGGCTAATCCAATATTTCAATGTTTTCTCTAAGGGAGACAGTGTGTTTGTTATCAATTTAAACACGATCTTTAATACACACTATAATTTTAATAAATAGAAAAATCTAGAATTACTTTGTCCTTTTTTTCCTTAGGTTTTCTTTTCTTTTTATATTTAGGGTATTAAACAGGCTAAAATGCTTAGGCAAGAAACGATAAATAAATCTCAAGGCTGATCTTGGTGATTGTATGTTTTTTTATGAGTTCAGCACTTTAACACCCTGGTAATTACAAAAAATATATATTTTTACTAAATTCTCAACACCCAGGCTTATTCTATCATTGAATTGTGTTTTAAAATTTTTAGTATTAACTATAATTATATCAATTCGGTTGAGTTCATTTTCTATTCATTACACTGACTCACTTGGCTATGTTTCGAGTGTATTCACATCTCCTTATTCTAGGTTCTCGAACTCCCTTGCCTGGCACACGCGTTATTACATCCCTGAAACAAATGCCAACAATGCACTATATTTGTAATCCTCTTATTTTAGACCCGAATGTTATATCTTTCTGTCCAATTTTGTGTAATATTACATTTTTTCCCCCATTCTGAATTTATTTCAACTGAGGAGAAAAGATAATCTAATTCAGATCTGGCATTTCTCATGTTTTTTATAAAGTATAAAATATAAATGTAAACAATGTCTGTAAATCCCAGGCGCTGAAGATGATCTCAATAAAGATCGAAACTAATTATTTAGAAATCGTGAGATGCGGTCTGGTGTGATGTAGGTTTCAGAAAAACATTTTCTTTATCGTGCCATTATCTTACATCCCAATATCTGGACAAGTGAGTAAAGCAACATATCTATGATTGCAAAATCCTACATCACTCGCTACCCACCATTTTGAACACAAACACAATTTCGACTTCAACAATCCAAAAATATTACACACAGAACAAAACAAACATAAACGTAATTTTTTATAAATGGTTTACATCAACAGAGAAACACAGCATCAATTACAGAACAGATACATGTAAACTCAGTTGTAGCTACGCCAATATCACATCACATTCCTCACATCAAACATTTTTCACATAGTCTAATTTTTCAACAATTTAGCTTTCCTTTTCCTATTTATCCCTTTATATATAATCCTGAAAGGATAATCTGGCCGAACCATTACCAACGTTTTTTCCCTTCGTCGGCTGTTTTCACCTCAAAGAAGCCGACGCCTTATACAAAAATGTCTTTTCTATACCGACATCCTTCTCCACCCCTTCAAAATCCAACGTATATAAACACAAAACAGCAAAATCTCACTGGCACTCTCAACACGACACGCAAGAATGGCACAATTACACAGAAGACAAACACTTTGAGTGAGTAGAAATACTTTGTTTGAATATATAACAAATATATTTTGCATTGTATAAATTCACTTTTCCACATCCAAAATGTATTTTTTAAATGTAAACAATGATTGTAAATCCCAGGCCCTGAAGATGATCTCAATAAAGATCGAAACGTTGGCACGATAAAGAAAATGTTTTTCTGAAACCTACATCACACCAGACCGCATCTCACGATTTCTGAATAATTATCGATTAACAGTCACTAATCACCACACATAAAATATAAATCGATTCATTTGTGAAAATTGGTTCATTTGAAATTTTTGAATGATGAATTTAGCAATGGACTTTGGTCGATTTCCCTAGCTAAAGAACGAAAACTACTGTAATTATTCTTTCATTTACTGTGTTATCAGCATGTTTGGATTACATTAATATTTTTTTATTTCCTTTTACAAAACAATAAATTTTATGAAGATATGAAAATAGTTTTATTGTTTTTGTTTTTGTGTTGCAAAATAGTTTAAAATTTTAAAAAGTACACAAGTACATTCTCAAAAATTAATAGTTGTTTCTTATTCTCTAGATGAGCTAGAGCTGCTGACTTCTCAGGAAGCAGTACCTTAATATGAATTTTAGTTCATAACTGTAAGTCACTTTTATTTTTCAGATCTTCAAAAAAATTTAAAAGTTGACAATAAAAATAAATAAATAAATAAATAAAAAATCAGGATTCACATTTTGTAATTTAAAATCATAGATGACATGTTTGTTTTATTTTCTGTTCGTAGTGAGAGCAGCATGTTTGTAGCTGAGAGAAGGTTTATTTTGAAGACTTGTGGGACGACGACCCCTTTAAAATGTCTTAAACCTTTGTTATGCCTTGTGGAGCAACATGCAGGTTTCACAGAAGTGGAAGTATGTTTTCTGTAATTATATTTATTTTCATTGTACTGTCCTAAAAAATTTACATATTACACGATTTTTTTTTAATGTTTGTACAATTCATGGTGTTAAAGTTTTCTTTCAGATTCACTCGTGTATGTTGATATGAATGAAATTGTTTTAGGGTAGACAAGCCCAACATGATAAAGTGCACCTACTGATTTGAAGACCTATTCAAATATCTTATATTTTTTAACATCATCAAGATGTGATTGTGGGATTATAAATAGAAGGGTACTGAAATATGTTATGAAATTAACATTAATAACAAAACATTTTGGAAGCCTGATCCTAAAAACATGGTTGTTCTCAATTTTTGTGAATATATTGTATTTTTTATTCCCTGGAAAAGAGAAAAGCGTGGATATTTCGTTATATTTTATTCCATTTTAATGTTCTTACAAGGAACAGGCATTCTCAATGTTTCAGCTTTATTGGGTCAACACTATGAGTCTATATTGACTATTTATCAACTAATCATCAATATCTAATATCCTAAATTTTTATATTACCAATTCAGCTTTTATGGTTGAGGGTTGTATTAACATTTATTTCTAAAATTTAGAATCCACAATAACCATAGAAAATGTATACAGAGTAATCATTAAAAATATATAAATATTGGATGTTACAAGTTTTGGAGAAAAACTAGAGCGCCAAACTGAATATTTGTAAAATAGCATACGGAAATAACATCAACGAGTGTTCGAGGATGTTTATTTTATCTCCTGAGAGTTACTAGACCTTGATAACTTTTTTTAATGAACCACAGAAAGACTTGATTTATATAAATCTGTAATTAATATCAAATTGATTCGTAGTACTACATCAGCAAAAGCCGGTAAAAAATAAAAAGTTTTTTAATTGCAATTGTAAATTTGTAATTATATAATAATTTTTCTAAATATATTCAGTAATAAATAAATGTTAGGTACTTTCACAAATATCATTATTTCTTCATTCAAAGATTCACCAAACTTCATAATTTTATATGCTGGAAATCAGTATTAAACTGCAACAGCAATAAACAATGTATTTTGAATTATAATTGAAATGTATACATTTTATTTACTACAAAACTCATTCGGGACAGTTTAAGTAATTCCATAAACTTAAATGTAGAATAAATGCATCCAAATGAAGCAGAAAATTCAGCTAGAAGTAGGTAATTCATTTATTTAAAAAAAAAATTAATTCACACACTCTGGATCCAAGTAGGTCTGGATGAAAAAAAATTCTATTGTTATCTGCCAACCTTGCAACCAGTTTTAAGGTCATCATCAGGGCAAAACAATCTTAACGATGTCTATAAATTGTCGCAATTAAGTTTTTAATAAATCGTTTCAAATTACCCTGTAATACCCTGTAATCGGTCTTCAAAGAAATTTGAAACCATTTAATTAAAACTTAATTATGCCAATTTGTAGACATCTTTGGTATTGTTTTGCCCTGATGATGACATTAAAATAGGTTTAAAGCTTGGCAGATAACAATTGAATTTGTATGTTCATCCAGACCCATACCAAGATACAAAGTTTTTGTCGTTGACAAAAATGGTCAATACATGTAAACAGAAATTTTTCATTTTTGTAAACCATGTCCATTTTTTACTTATCAGACCGGTGTTTTGTACAGGGATTCAATTAATGTATTTCTGTGTAAGGGCTAGAGTAAAGATGCTCATGACAGTTTTATTGAATTTTTCTTCTCCAACTTTGCTTATTAAAATATTACACCGTATATTTACTCTGTGCCCTATGGTTATTTTACTATATTTTATAAATTTTCTATTGTATAAAAAGGGGTTTTATTTTGTCTTTTGGTAAAAGGTTTTGCTAAATTATATGTTGAGTTAAGTAAACAAGATGTTCTTCCTCGCTTATAGAGAAATTGATGGAAATTAGTAATATTTTATTTCTTTGTGTTTATTAGGAAATATTTTACTCAAGGAAAAATTTTAAAAGGCCAGAACTGCAAAAATCACCCCACAAAAGCTTTCAAGATGAAGTTGATTTCTTGAATAGTATCTTTAAAGGTAAATTAAGTCTCTTAAAATTATTTTATAACTGTAAACTTTTAACCACTTTGACAATATAGTACAAAATGATAAAGGGTTTTTAATTTATAATCCGGTTTTTTATGTTTTGTAAAAAGAAATTTGTAAAAATTATGGATACAATTAATCATAAACCTTCACTTCCATATTATTTTCCGAATTTCCAGGATAAATTATTTTGAAGCTCAAAGAAAATTCTTAATCTGACAAAATGACTACAACAATGTTAAGGACTGAAAAAGAAAAATAGAGAGCTATGACAATTGTGGAATCGACAAAGCTCCTTTTATTTTCCACAAAGACAACTCACCATCATAGTCAGTGACTGAAAAAATGGGAACATTTAAAATAGCTTGTGGTAACTTTTTTCAAAATGCTTATTTTTGTTTTTGTCCAAATAGTTTATTCCACTTTACAATTGTCTTGTCTTAAATATTATTTGTTGTTTAAAAGGAAAGGGGTGGTATTAATTTGTGAGCTAATTTCACGTTTATTGTTTATAGAACACAAAATTGATTCTTGGTTTTTAAATTTAACAGAAACATTAACACGATCAATATATTTATTGGTTTTAAAATGTATGACATAACCATGTTGAATTCAATAAATTTAATTTTAAAATTGTTTAGATGGTGTTGGGTACTGCCTGGGAAACAGTGATGAAGATTGCTGGTATCTGTATACTCTTCAAGGCACCGACGTTATTAATAATAATAACAACAACAACAGCAATAATAACAACACAGATAACATTGAAATTGAGCCAGATCAAACGCTAGAAGTTCTCATGACTGATCTGGACCCCCAGGTGATGTCACTTTTCACAAAGAATTCTTGTTCAACCGCTGCTGAAGCCACTCAGGTAAAAGGATTAAATGATTTTTTGCTATAGTATCACAATATTGGTTTATTGTAAGACGAAGCCAACCACACTGCAATCTTAATACCTTCCAAGTGCATAAAGTTTAAAAGATTAGTGTGGTTGTCTTCGACTCCAATATCACCATTATATAATAAAACAACATTTTACAGAATAAAAATAAACTAATTAAACTCAATATAATACTTTTTTTAAATATTTTTTTTAGAAATCAGGCATCGATAAGATTTTGCCTCAAATGGTCATAGATGATTATTTATTCGAGCCGTGTGGCTATTCAATGAACGGACTTAGTAAAAATGTAAGTATTTGAAAAATAAATTCTACATTAAAACGTACTCAACTCGCATTATTTAGTTTTTAATCTTTTTGGGACTGATTTTTGAATGTTAAAACGTGTTCCCCTGCCTATAGCCTTGGCAGCTGTGTGACCTCCCAGCCTGATTTATTTTGAATTATGCATCACATTTCAAAGCGTTTGCTTGGAATCGCTCTAGTTTCTTTTATTGCACCAATCCATTCAAAATTTGACTGTACATTCATACTTTACAATGGAAGTAAATAAAAGAAAAGGACAAAACAAAGTTGTATTTCAATGAAAATTTATTTGACTCAAAAAATCTTCATTACGTTTTTTAAAACTTTTTTTTCCACATCCTACATGTATTTGTTAAATTTAAACAATGTTTGTAAATCCCAGGCCCTGAAGATGATCTCAATAAAGATCGAAACGTTGGCACGATAAAGAAAATTTCTGAAACCTACATCACACCAGACTGCATCTCACAATTTCTGAATAATTTTTAAAACATAGTTACCAAAAATAAATTTAAATGTTTCTGTCTGTCAGACATGTTTCACATGTTTCGTCTTGTTGCCATCTTAATTTCAATAACCAAAATTATTATACTTGAAAATGTGTAGAAGCCTAAAGGCTTCTGACAGACATAAGAGCTAGGATAAGCAGATCATACTGATCAGGAAAGATCATCACCCGTTTTCCTGTGTATGCGGGCGACTGTGTGGCAGCTTAACTATATTTGCTCGCTTTTCTCTAAGTGATAAGATAAGAGAGAGGTCAAAAAATTACATTATTATTACAATAAAAATAGCGAAGCAAATGGTATAAAATGTAGTGTAATAAGTGTTAAAAAAACACATAATAATAATAAAATATGCATGTATACTTGTCTTTAAAAAAAAGTACAAATTTGCTAGATAAGCAAATTAATGTTTTGCTACCAGTAAAGATATTCTGCATGGACAAAAAAAAAAAAAAGAAAGAAAGAAATAAATATTTTATAAAAGTTAAATTTGTTATGTTCATCCAGGGGAGCTACATGACAATTCATATAACTCCAGAACCAGAATTTTCATATGTCAGCTTTGAAACAAATGTCCCGCAAGTATCATACAGGGAAGTGATCCAGAAGGTGCTTCAAGTTTTCCGCCCAGGAAAATTCGTACTCACACTCTTCACAAATAAGGTAACACGAATTTTATTTAACCATTTTCATACGTTTTTGACCTGCTCCCTCTTTTTTTAGGAATCAGTAGCCATGGACAGCCCAGGGGTATTGAAAAGGGGAAAGAAATACTGCAATTTCGGAGACTTGGAATGCAGGGAGGTTCAATACTGCCAGCTCCGTAATTATGACCTTAGCTTTGCATTCTACAGCAAATTCCCGAGCTGAGGGTCAATTGAGGGTTGGTGCGTTAAGGCCAACCTTAAGTCTCACCAAGCAGTCTCCCTAGCACTTCTCCCTTTAGATTTACTCTTTGCCTGGTGGCAATACAAAATTTCTTGATTTTCAGCATTAAATCAATTCATACAAAGAAACGGTTTATTTGATTGGGTTCATTTATGACGCCTAAGTTGCTTTAATTATCGTTGAACCTCATTTTATATTTATTTATGAGTGTTTCTCTTTTACGGTTTATTCATTTTGTTCACCTATGAGGGTGGAAATGGATAGAATAAATGCCAGTGATAGAAAAGAAAAAAAATCGCAGCGTTCAGGCTGTCGGGACTGGAAGTCATCCAACTGCTGCAAAAGATCTGTGGCTCATGTGCAATCACACAAAAATAAAGCATGACAAAAAATGGCAATTTTATCTTTACATGAATTTAAAAGGAATGACATTTTCAAAAAGCTGGTGCTTTATTTGATGATTTGTTTTGTTTTGTTTATGTATTGACTTTTTTGAGGTACGTTTTAATTTGTGTATTATTAATTTTTATTTTAAAGATTAATTTTGATGAAAGCAAGTATCAAAATGCACTATTAAAATGTTACATCTTCATTATTATTGTATATCGATTATTATTATGGGCTAGTATTTCTAATAGTTAGTAAATAATACTAATTTGTTTAAATTGTAATATCTTATTTAATTGTTCATTCATTGTAGGACCATTCATTACTGCACATACCAAAAATGTTAGTTAAATAGGTATAATTAAAAATTATCATTCCATTAGCATCTTTATAAATATATAGAATGTATTTATTCAAATATTATTAGTCAATATATGTAATTTAGATTCAGCATTTTGCTAATATTTTATAGAGAACAATCATTTGATCATTTTTTAGAAATTAGATTGTACTTTCTATTTATGAGACTGCTAGGGGAGATTTGGGAGGCACCCACTAATTTAAACATGTGTGTATTATGATTAGATGTCAAATATATGCTATAATTATGAATTGTATTGTCTGTTTCTTTATTAATTTAATTAATTTTAAGTATACCTCACCTTTCCCACATACTAACAAAATATTATAAAAATATTTATTATTTTTCATTTTAGCAACACTAGGAACGATTAAAGCTGGATTGAGTCCAAGATATTTTTTTTAATGTACTTAATCGATGTCATATTCATTGTTTAATAGTTATCTATCATCCTGGTCTGCTTGCCCTCGCTGATTTCCATTAGTTCAGACGCGTTTCAGCATTTCGCCATCTTCAGTGTTTGAGTGAAGTGTTCATTATCGGTCATGTGGGGTGGCTGTTTAGTACTAGTATTGTTGTCAGTATGTTTGATGGATTAAGTTTGGGTTTTTTTTATTGTACTAGTTGATATTTTTTAAATTTGGTCCTTTCATTTTCATTTTTGGATGGTGTAAATGATGTTTTTATGTTATTGTTAATTTGTGTATTTAAGAGGTTTTTTTAAAGTGTTAACTGTGCTAGTGCAAACACTACACTCCTCAATTAATTATTACAAGCTAATCGTGCAATTAAATAAAGTTTATCTCTTTCCTTCCTGCTTGATAATTTTGCACATGGCTCGCTCTTCTTATTTTATTCCTTTATGAGGGGTGCTTCTTCGTTTCTTCCAATTTTCCAACCGAGCATAATGGCCGATCTGTTCTGATTACTGTTTATGCTAGACTGGACTGACAGGACTAAAGCATTTTACAACGTAAACCGCTAAATTTTTTTTTTTTGCAATATGATATACTTGGTGGGTGGTATGCTTGCCAGTGAATGCAAATTGGAATAGGACGATCTTTCTAAGGATATGTAGTAGGTTTATGGGTCGGTAGCTTTACATGTTTCTTTTTTTCTCCTGGTTTGAGAAACTTCCTTGGGGCTCTCAACATGACACACAAGAATGGCACAATTACACAGAAAACAAACTGTTTGAGTGAGTAGAAATACTTTGAATGAATATAAAAAATATATTTTGCATTGTATAGATTTACTTTCCCCATCCTACATGTGATTGTTTGATTTGAACAATGTTTGTGAATCCCAAGCCCTGAAGATGATCTCAATAAAGATCGAAATGTTGGCACGATAAAGAAAATGATTTTCTGAAACCTACACACCAGACCGCATCTCACGATTTCTGAATAATTGACTAACGTTCACTAAACACCATAAATTTCTTCCAAATCATCATAAATAAATATTTTTTATAAAAACCCATGAATTTTTGATCTCGTTTAATTTGGTTTACATTTAAATAAGCGTGTCGTAATTAATATAACAAGAAAATTACATATACCTAGTTTGAAATAAATTACAAAAAATACGAGTGTCCAGGTCTGACTGTATTTGATGAAAATGGTGTAATTTTATGAGCAAGACCATGTAATAAATTGTTAAATTCATTCTATCAGTAAATGGTATTCGGCTGTTTTGATAAATTTTCTGCCAAACAATTAAAATTAATTTAAAAAAAATAAAACTCATGAATTTTTGAGCTCACTTAATTTGGTTTAAATTAAAATAAGTATGTTGTAATTAATATAACAACAATAATACATAGTTTAAAATAAAAATATGAATGTTCGGTTCTTTTGTCTTTGACTGTACTCTACGCTACTTGACAAAAATCTTTACATTGGGGATCTTGGTTGCAGTGCGTAGCGTAGAAGCAGGGTAGGGTAGCGTCGCATCGGGCAGATGTGCACAGGGGTAATACAATCTTATGGATAATTGGACATTGGATTTGCGTCGGTTGGATTCAGATCACGTCAGGTAAGTGTTTCTTGATTCAATTCTTGTGTGATAAATCGCAAATTATTAAAAGCTTTAATTTGTTTATTTATTGCATTAATAAATAATTAATTTGTTCCATTTATATTAAGATTAAATTACAATCTGGTTGATTACTTAAATAACAAAAATTGAGACGTCATAGAATTTTTTTTTTTTTTCGGAAAATCGTACGACAAATACCAACTAGCAGTTATAAAGTATAAAATCAATGCTTAAAGTTAACAAATTTTAATTAAAATAAATTGCACATAATTCATGTTAAACTTTCATTCTTTAAACTCGTCAATAACAAATATATAAATAAAATGTTTAACATTACATTCCATCACCGTAATACTCGTAGAATTTATAATTTAAAAAATACACATTTCATAAACTATATATAAATTCTTCATAATAAAGATGTACGATTAGTATTTATTAATTGTTAAATTTTATTTAGACATCGAAGGGTGGGACCCATCCGCCGAATTCCTTTTCTAAGGCTTGTGCAACGGCAATGGTCAGACGATCATTCTTCGCGTTGGCCACGATCTGAAACAACATTACAAATATAATTACGAATTTAGTATCACAAGGTTGGGCTGCGGTGGCCGAGTGGTTTGGGCATCTGACTCGTATTGCCACGCTAGCAGTCCTGGGTTCGAATCCCAGTCTATTTTAATTTTGATAAAGAAAAGTATTGTCCTCCTGTTTGGCAGGAATTACTTTACTTTTAGTATAAAAAGGTAGAAAATGTAGTGGGTAAAGTGTGTTCACCTGCACGCCGAGCGGCAATTTGTCGGAGGAAAGCCCCAAGGGAGCAGTCGTAGCTGGCAAATGCAGCGCGTTAAATACCCCCCAGTAGCCGAAATTATAAGGGCGAAGGAATGACATATAATGGTACGGAGCTGTCGTAGGGCAATTTGGAAACAAGAGAACACCATCATCTTTGAGGAGATCCTGAAAAATACCGAATAGTAATATTCATCTCGGTTTATTTGATAATCCACCCTTACCTCTAACTGCTGTGTTAATTTTTTCAACATTACATCGCCCCATATCTCGTCTACAGGAGGTAATACCTGTTCTTGAGCCAACTTCATAAGAGCCGGTAAAGTATAATTACACTTTCCCAAGCACATTTTGAATATTTCTTCAGTAAAAAATACTTGTCGCTGGAAAAAAAAAAAAAAAAAAAAAAAAATGAAAAACTTACATTTTATATAATAGGTATTTTAAGAAGAAAATATTTACCTCTCTATTCGATAAGTCGAAAGCAAAATTGGATTTCTCTTTTGTCATACTGTGCCTCCATAAAGTACTGCTGTATTTAAACTCTTCAATTTTAACCTATAAAATAGCAAAGAAATATTTTATTGGTAAATTTAATGTTTGTTCATCTAAGATGTGTGTAAATAAAGGGTTTGATTATATAGTTCCACTTACAGGTTTTGCCGGTTCTTTTGTTATTTTTGAAAGGAAATTAGCACTCTTTAGTATAACATCCATCACTTCTTTCCTCATAGGTGAGACTCTTATATCACCTGGGTCAAGAATATAGTAAACTCTAACCTCTTTCAAATTGACCTATTAATAAATAAATTTATTATTTATACATTATAAACACAACAAAATGAGATACTTACTTTTTCATCCAGTTTAAGTAAATCAGCTTTATCATTGGCTAATACTTTTACGAAGGGTATGATATCTTCGGAATGTTTGGTAATCGAGCCTGCAGAGACCATGGTCAACCCTTCTGTCCCTGTCCTGAAAGACATACCCTTTGTCGATACAAATCCTGAAATTATGTCAAAACCGAATAACTAAGCTGTATTAAACCAAACTTAGTTATTTACCTGATGTGGGCTTGTGTCCGAAAAGTCCGCAATAATAAGCAGGCATTCTGGTCGAGCCACCGATATCGGTTGCCAATCCTAATGGTGACCCACAGGCGGATACGATCCCAGCCTAAACCCACAATTAATAAAATCGCATCAATAATAAAACAATAGTACAAACCTCTCCCCCTGACGATCCGCCACACGTTCGATTAAAATCATAAGGGTTTTGCGACTGGCCGTAGATCATGTTTCTAGTTTCACACCATAAATTTAATTCCGGAATGTTTGTAACTCCTATTAAGATTGCACCACTATTTTTCATATGTTTCACAATGTCAGCGTCTTCTGTTGCAATTTCATTCGATCTTACTAACATACCACAAGTGAACCTCATTCCTGTGGTAAAAAAACAAACATGAACATAAGATTACACAATGCAATAAACATACAATTATTACAAATACCTGCGCATGAAGTGCTTTCCTTTGAGGTAAACGGTACTCCTAAAAATGGCTTTTTCTTTTCCAATTCTTCTTCAGATAGTTGACTAGTTTCAATAAAAGCATCAGCTTCTGCTGCCTCTTTGAGGGCTAATTCAAACCTATCCTGGACAACCGCATTTAAATCTGGGTTCACTTCTTTTACTCTCTCAATGCATGCTGCTACCAACTCTACCGACTTCAACTAACCAAAGATAAAAAAGCTGTATTGGCAATTTACATGTTGAAACTTGAAATAACTTTACCTTCTTTTGTCTGATCCTCTGAGCCAACTTTGTCGCACTTAGCGACAGGAATTCTTTTTTAATCGGTTCCAAACGCCCATTCTTATTAAATATAAATGACGATAAAAAGTCGCAGAAATATTCAAAGAGGAATCGAACAAAAACTAATAGCTTCATGCACAATAAATTCATTTTTCTTGTATTTTTTCAATCCTTAAAAAAATAAAAATCACAGTGAATGATCATTATAAAAAGATTTTACTTTGCATTCTATCTTAGTTTTGCAAATAATTAATTTGGCCTGTCACCGTTTTTATTTATTTTAGTTTTTTAATTTTAACTAATCACTTAGTACATGGTGACTCCTAGCAGATAGTTTTGAAAAAGTTCATTCTGCGAGCGAAAACCAAGTGTTTTTACCTTTACAAAGTTGTTAAAGCAACCAATTTATATTTCCTTCCAAATCAACATCTTTAATCTGAGTATGAACTAGTTTCTCCTAAAGAAATTTTCAAAAATTATTAAAGGTCTAACCATCGCTCTCATCATCGTTAAAAACCTTTCAAGAAAAGCATTAACTTATCCATTGACATCGGTGTTTAACCAGTCAGTCATTTAACACTCACAACAACAAAAGGGGTAAAATATTATGTTGAGATCTATCCCATGATGGATCAGCAACTTAAACACCTTTGATCATACTTGTCTGCCTATTATCGCTTGTCTGTCAAAAATGTTTTAGCATCTCACCATCTTCAGTGATAGGGATGTATTTACATCTAAATTAAGTAAAGTAATACCTGTCTACAGGAGGGCTTAACTTCCTACTACTCATGGGGAGGTCACAGATCAAACCACTTTAAATACCTTTTACATATAATTACAGAACTCAAACCTAGGACAGATGGCAAATACAAGTCGAATGCCCTAATTTCTCGACCACCTTTCATGTTTCAATAATTTAATTATTAATTTTTGATCACAAATTTTCAATTTTTTTGGAAATTAAAGATACACCAATTTTCTTAGTAGCTGATCAAATTCATGGGAATATAAAAATCTTTAAAAGAATGTTGAACTAAGTAGTCCAGTATTAACCATGAATTCAAATGAACATTTGAAAGTATACTAAATTAAACAAAGAGAGATAGTTAAAAGTAGCAAGTGACTAATTGCTTTAAGGACTGAAAATAATTTATCAAATTATTTTTTATCAAAATTAAAATTGATCTAAGAAATGCATCCAAATTGAATTTTTTTTTTTTTCAAATAAATTTACAATTTTGGTGTGTCCTTTTTGCCGTAACTGATTCTTGTCTGATTTTTTTATTTAAATTTAAAAATTCGAGGGTTCGAATCCCTCTCGTGCCATTAACTTTTTTTCATCTCAATTAAAAACCTTTATTAATCGACATGTATTAATTGGTCACGCGGACCACGAAAGTAGTGAATTTAAATTTAAAATTAAAAAAAAATTTATACGATATTCTTGAGGTGGGGTCGAACCCACTTCATTCACGCTAATAACTTACTTCCACTCACCCCAGAGTACTCGACATTCCTCGGGCCCTTCCTTTCATGCTAATAAATACAGTGATGGACACATTTAATGCACCTTTCAATTTATTTAGTTTAAAATTAAATCCATTATCTTTCTACATTAATTACACATAATTATGAGTTATCACAGTCAAAATAAACAGTGAATAATGCCGTGTACTTCCTTTATTAACTTTTGTATTGATTGATCTTATATGCACAATGGGTCTTTCCATTCGGGTATGCCTGAAGATCGCTTTAAAATAATCTATTTCCTTTGTTGATTTTATCGAGATTATTGTTATTCTTAAACCTTTTTCAATGGTTCTAGTCAGGCATTTGACCATGACTGTGTCATAACACTATAAGAGGAAGGATATATCCAGGGCGAAGTTGTCAGGAGGGTTCTTCGGCGCTTCAGAGAAACAGGGGTTCACACTACACAGCAGGACAGGTACGACCTAGATCTACAGATGGGAAGAGAGACGATAGATTTATCTGTCATCAGGCTCTAAGAAACCGAAACATTACAGGAACTGAGTTAAAAAGTCAGATAAGACAAGTCCGAAATGTTTTAATTCCAGGAGTGTAAGAAGAAGGCTCAATGAAAATAACCACAGAACTCGGAAAATGGCCAGGCTTCAATTCACAACAGATGAGGTGAGAGTTGTCCTCGAATCTTCAGATGGGCATAATTTCATTTCAATTTTCAAACCACTTTAAAATACCTTTTACATAAATTACCAATTAAAATTACAAAGGATCTGTTTGTACTCGAATCGAGGACAGATAGCATCACAAATACAAATCAAACGCCCTAACCACTCGGCCACCTCCTTCACGTTTGAATTTTTAAGTTTTGATAAATTTCAATTTTTTTTGCCAACTAAAAATACATAATTTTCTTAGTAGCTAGTCAAATTCGTGGTAAATATGAAAATCTTTAAAAGGTTGAATTAAGCCAAGTATTAAGCATGGATTCAAATGGACATTTTTTCCTTATTGGTTATATTGTTGTAGATAACGTAATAACATAACATCATTTTGTCAAAATTTGAGCAAAATGTAAGTTCTTTCAACTAAAAGTTATTTTTTCCATTTTACAAATCATGCCTTCAAACTAGCTGTCGACTATGTAAAATATTGCTACACGAGAAAAATCTGTCCGGACTGAAATAAATAAATTACAATAAAACAAAAAGCAAAGTCAAATTTTCTTACAAAAAATGCAGACCCTCCTTCGAACAACCGAACTAGATGTAATGAGGTGAGCAAAGTGGATGAACCTTGATCATTCCTGGATCATCGAGTCAGAACATGAAAGTTCATCCGCTGAGCAAAACATGCGATAACGATCAAGGAACATTTTAATCAGTTTATTTACAAAAAAAAACCCCTCAGACAACATGCCTGCAAAGGACTAATCATGTTTTATTTTGCACATTATTCCCTAACAATATTCGAACTGTACTCTCTCAACTATTGATTTCAGAAAACTAGCGTGTTATGAAGAAATTTATTTTTGTTTAAAAATGCTGTCCTCTGTAGGTCTGAATTTTTTTTTTAATTTACATACACTGATGATTAGTGATACTTAAAATTATTTTAAGAGGATTACTTTTTTTTAACATTCAAAACAAGTTATGAAATAAAATCGTATAGTTTAATTTAAAATACAGCATACCTCTTAGTGCGTAACAACAGTCACAAATCAACAAAATACAACAGTAAATTTATTCATTCTTGTTAACACTCATTTTAACTTCGTCCACTCCTAACTCCTTGACAAGTAATTTCTTTTCTTTCTGATAAAATCGATAAGACTTTCGACGTCGACTTATTTATTCAAATATCGATTTCCCGCTCAATAAAATGATTTATAAATATCAATTTCTAATAATTTATTGATGAAAAACCATCTCCTATTAAGAAATGTAATAAAAAACGTAATTCTTCTTTCCAGCTATCCATAAATTTTTGAAAATCTTTGTTTCCTGCATTATTACCTTATGTCAACAAGTCAATGATTTAAAAAATTGCGATTTTCTAATCTTATTGGATGTTTTAAGTGAATATAATATCAGTTTTGGTTTTTTTTTTGGTATCAACCTTTCAGTCACAGCCAGAACTGGTAATCGGGTCTAGCACCGCCATCTCAGCCTACCAGCAGGAGAGGGACCCCAGACCTGACCATCAACAAGTCTTTCCTATGCTTACTATGTTTAGGGCACTTCATAATTATATGCTCTAGTGTTTCCTCTACCTTACATAGCATTTTTCAAAATTAAGACACGTGGTTCTCTAATCACCAGTCAGATTGGAGGGTTGCGATTGTTTTCCTTTTTGTTTTTTGACATCAACCTTTCAGTCACAGCCAGAACCCTAACCGGTAATGAGTTTAGTACCACCAGCTCAGTCTACCAGCAGGCGACAGTGAGAGGGTCCCAAACCTGACCATCCCTCAATCCTAATTCATTTGTTGCTATTGAAATTTAATTTTTGTCTCTTCTAAATTTATACACATATTTATATATTTCTATCTTCTAGGCTTAATATCTGGACATAATTGAATGTACATTTCACTAAGGTGTAATAGACTTACTAAGACTTACTAAAAGACTCAACAAGTCTTTCCTATGCTTACTATGTTTAGGGCAGTTCATTTCCTATGCTCTAGTGTTTTCTCTACCTTACATATATTACATACTGTAAGCTGGTGAGCTTTTTATGTTTAGCTTGTACAGGTATAAATTACATATGACATGTCCAAATTTCAACCTGCATATAGTACGGAAGAAGTCTTTTCCTACCAATTGTTGACTGAACCGTGGGACACCTCTTTTGACCCTCTTAGATAGATTGATTTATTAGTCAGGGTGCATGTTATACTGCACCCTTTAAGAGCTATTGCATCCCCTGTTTTGTGCTTAAAGCAAACAGGTAAGCCCTAGTTCATCAAGGAACTTGATTAGAAGGCCAGTTTCAGTGGTTGAATCTCTTCTACGTTACGTTGAATGTCCCAAAATACTTCTTCCTGCGAGCAAGTGTAGCACCTCTGTTTGTTTGTAGGTGTATTGGTTTCTCCTCTGCTACTTTGCAGAATCTGCATGTGCCATGTTGTGTTATGCCAATCTTCTTCAGATATCCATTTAGTTTGCAGTGTCCTGTTTTTTTTTGTACGAGGGTTTGCTACAGCAGAGGTCATATAAACCCTCAGGGTGCCGGTGTTGCTGCTGGATTCGAACCCGGGACCTTTACCTTACAGTGATGAGCGCCGTGTCAAAGACTAAACCTTGCGGCCACCGACGCTCCTGCAGTGTCCTGTTAAGAATCTTGTTAGGGTTCACAGTTTTTTACTGCTTCCTTTAATACATTCTGTCTTTTTTCCTAGTTTCTTGGGAGGTTTGTGTCAAATGAGTGAGTTCCATTGTTCCCCCATTTTCTTTTTATCCTTCTGACTGAGGTTCTCATTGATAGTGTGTATTCTTATGCCACAGAAGGGCTTTTGTCCCTCTTAATCTAATATAGAATTTCTATTTGCTACAGGCTTATTTGTTACTCCCATTAAGGTTAATATCAGATCACTTTTGGATATCTTCTCTGTTACTATCCCTTGATTGTAGCGTTCTTTGCCAATAAGTCTACTTTCTCATTTCCCTCAACCTCTGGCTTCTTAACCATGCAAGTTACATAATTTTTCATTGGGTATGCAACTTTCCTAAATGAGAAGACATGCACTATTATAGGAGGTATTTCTTTTGTTGTGTAACAGTCGTAATGCACGTTTTCTATTTATCAAAATTGCAATGTTCTTAGTCACCAGCCCATTGCTGGGCTTGCCCTATTGCAATTACTTCTGCTGAAAATACAGTCAGGATGTTTGGTAGCTGCATTTCAAAGGCCTTCGGGTGAACTGGATTTCATACAGTGTTTCCCACTCTTCCACTTATTTTTGTTCCATCGGTATAAATGGCATGAACTCCTTTCCATCTGTGCCTTTTTTTTTTTTTTTTTAATTGTCTTTACTACTCTTGTATCTGTATCTTTAAATCAGGAAAATAGTGTTATAACATCTGTTAAAAGGGTATTGTAGTCAATTTTGAATCCATCTAGTTTCTATTCAGATTGATTTAATGTATCCGAATATGTGATGGGTTTGCAGAAAAGCTGTGATTATAAATTTAATAATAATGATTGTAAGATTGTTATTGTAATTTGTATCGTACTACGATTTGGACATAAATTTATTTATGCATTTTAAATTTAAACTGTATAAAAAATACGGAAGGAGCTTACATGAAAATATGCTTTTCATTTTTAAACAGCAGCTGAGATTTTGGCGTTCAAAGCATAATGATATTTGACGACCACGTGCACCTACTAAAATAATCGAGAATGGATTCTTTTGAATCGATCCTTCGAAATAATGATGAAAAATTAACGACAAAAAACATTCACGTTCAGTAAAAATTTCAAGGAATTTTTCAATGAGTCCTGAAGGAAAGAAACGTGATTTGATTTATGTAAATGTTTTTGTAAAAGTTCCTCTCTCTTGAACCAACCATCGACAATATTCTTTTGATCGATCATTTGTAACATAAAACTCGATTCTTTAGCCCTTCTTCATTGTTATTACCTCGTGAGGAGTGATACTGTGTTCATTTTTTGACAATTTTAACAAGGGGAAAAATGCAGGAAGACGAGGAAAATTATGTTTTCGATGACGAAGAGGTCCATCCGAAAAATCACGACGTTCTCCTCCAGGCGGTGTCTCAATTATACAGGAAGAAAAAGTGAGAATTTTTTTAAAAATCCATATTCATTATTGTAAAAACTCGTTTATTTTCAAGAATCGAGGCTCCGACGAGGAGTGAGCCTGCTACAAAGGTGTCCGAGTTCCACCTGTCTTCTGGTCAGCAGACTGATGACGTTATCAAGGTGCACGACCTCATCAGAGTGCTCGACAAAAAAGCGACTCACAAAGAAATCGGGAAGAACGTCCGACTAGTCCAGAAGAAGAGTAAAACTTTGAAGAAACCGCTTGAGAAGATATATGCTGACAGGGTATGACCATTTTCTGTACTTTATAGTAGTAGTGACAACACGTAGACACTAAGAATATTCAAAAGAAGCCTTAGCCCAGATGTCCACTGGAACCGATTGGTCCGACTAGAATTTGGTTGCATACCGTCTAATACAGCCGAATGATTTAGCAACAAGAGACACTTCCATAAAAGACGTTGTATTATCTCGTTTACAGCCAATCACGGCACAATTCCATGAAGATGGGATTTTTCAGTCTCGTTCGATCGAATTGTTGTACAGCAAGGGGAGTTAAGTACTTTTTTTCATTTACTGTTACCATGAACACCGAAAAACTACTTAGTGTAGTTCAAGATTATCCTCCCTTGTGGGATATGCGAAACAAGAATTACCACGGTGTTCTCCCAATATTTTCATTCTTTTGCCCTTCGACTACTCAGCAGGGTAGGTGCAATAATAACATATCCTCCACATCTATTTCAATTACGTTCGTTATCCTTTATTGCACGAAGAACTACAAGTAGTATCTGGCAGCTGAATTCTGGCTCCAATAGTTGTTCCATCGGCTCCTCGGTCAGTAGTCTGTTGAGAAGGCTGAACACGGTTTCAGTGGAAAGCCAGTCTTAAATGGGGAACTCACCCGATACGACGCAACGCGACATTACCTTAAGCCAATCTGTTGTCTATTTCAAAAGATTATTAACCCTCTATGCACATTTGCCTGACATGACACATCGTTACTTTACGCTGTGTTGCAACCAAGATTCCACTGTCCAGTTTTTCATCGATTTTTTTTTTTTTTTTTTGACTGGGGCTTCCGACATCTAGGTCATTTCAGCCCAAAAAATGTCTGTATTCTATTTACCCTTTCAAACACTACATTCATACAAATAAATACATTCATACACATAAATAAATCCATACTATACACTCATTCCGTTTGGTCGGTGGAGTACTTGATATTCCTCCACCGACCCTATATTCAAACTAATCTAGATTGGGGTCAATGGAGTACTTTTATAAATATTCCGCCATCGACCCCGAACACACACACTTACGCTCTCATCATTCGAGGGGTGATGATGACATATTTCACCCTCACCCCTCACCATTCATGCTAATAAATACATGCACTCAGACAAAACATATAGACACATAACACATAAGACATACTATATACAATAAAAAAAACCCAATTTCCCCTAAAAAGCGGAACAGGGGACTCTGAAACTCGCTACCGTGCTCGAGGACTCTTCTTAAATCCGGCGGCATGCCTACACACGCTCTCTGTATGTAGCCAAGGCATGACACGCCTCTATTATGCGGGACACATCGAGCAACCTTTCTCTGCATAAGGGGCACCTGCGCGGGCTTTGGCCCAAAAGCAGGTGTCCATGTGTCAACCGCGTTTGGCCAATCCTCAGTCGGGTGAGGACGATCCCTTGTCTCCTGCTCAGATTCTCTGAGGGCCATCTATCGGTCGTGCTCTTGACTCGCAAGAGCCTCTCCGACGACCCCGCCCACTGATGCTGCCATCTTTCTTTTATCATATTTTTAACTGTGTGTTTAGCGTCAGGGGGCCTGATCGCGATGGTCCGATCTGGAGGGTGGGACGTACTGGCTTTCGCCGCCTCGTCCGCTCGTTCGTTACCCTCCAGGCTGACGTGTCCAGGAATCCAGACAACAACCACTGTTTTTCCGAGAGGGTCCACAGAGAACCTGTTGCGTATAGCCCAGACAGCGCTCTGAGAGTCGGTACATACGAGGAAGGCTGAGCCCTCCCCGGTCCGCACCGCCTCGAGAGCGTGCAAAATCGCATACAGCTCTGCCGTGTATACGCTGCAATGAGGGGGCAACGACCAGGAGGTGGCCACTCCCTCGCTATACACAGCACATGCCACACCACCGCCGGTCTTGGACCCGTCTGTAAAAATCAGACGAAAACCGGCGTATCTTTTTCTAAGTTCAAGGAACTTAGCCTTGTAGAGGTATGGCGGCGTCAGATCGTCGCGGACAAGTACGGCCGGAAAGGTCCAGGGGGGTGTCGGCCAGTGGCCCAACCGAAGCACCGTCCCCAGTGCCAATCCGGCCCTCCCTAAGGGCTCATTGAAGCGAACCCGAGGGGTCGCATCCACGAACGAAGCATGTCGTAGACTATTCTGTACGGGTTTCATCGATTATTATCGGATGGTTTGTAATAATTTGTCTTTATATACTTAAAATAAAAAAACTGAACCCTCATATTTTGTTGTTAATTTCAAACTAAGTATTTTTTGTTGTTACACTAATTGCAACCTGCATATTGTAATGTAAACCAAATTAACTGCACTAGCCGAGTGGTCAGTGTGTTAGACCTTCGGCTCTAGATCCCGAGGTCATAGGTTAGATTCCTACCATCACCCCAGCCCTTTTTTCATACCCCCCCCCCCCTAAAAAGATTATGCATCACATATGAGATATTACATTCCTTGGCTAATATGCAAATTTCATAAGACCATAAAAAAATTGATTATGATGATTTTGCACAAAATTTATCAAAACACCAGAATACCATTTAGTGATGGAATGAAATTAACTAACAATTTATTACCTGGTTTTGATAATAATAACTAAATAAGAGCAAAACTAGGTAAATGATTTTTTTTTGCATTATGAACTATGCATATTAGCCATGTGACAATTCATATATGTGTATTCAAAATTGGGGGGGGGTTATTGTGAAAAAAGGGCCAGAGGCAACGGTGGGAATCGAACCCACGACCGCGGCGTGAGAGTCTCTCATGCTAACCACTCGGCTACCGCGTTCCCCCGAATTTTTAGTTAAATATTATTCATTCTCTAAATGGTTTCCTGGTGTTTTGGTGAATTTTGTTTATTTCAAACCATCATAATTAAATAGTATTTATTAAAACTCATGAATTTATGATCTCCTTTAATTTGGCTTACATTAATCTAAATATGTTATAATTAATTTAAACATAAAAATGCATTTAGTTTAGTTTGAAATAAACAACAAATAATTATTCAGAAATCGTGAGATGCGGTCTGGTGTGATATCAGTAGGTTTCCGAAAAACATTTTCTTTACCGTGCCAACGTTTCGATCTTTATTGAGATCATCTTTAGGGCCTGGGATTTACAAACAATGTTTGAAGATGATCTCAATAAAGATCGAAACGTTGGCACGATAAAGAAAATGTTTATAGAAATTATGAATAATGGAGTGAGTGTGGAGTTCAATCCTTTTTATAAAAAGATGGTCCCTACTCACATTAAGCACATCCTAAATGTATTTGTTAAATGTAAACATTGTTTGTAAATCCCAGGCCCTGAAGATGATCTCAATAAAAGATCGAAACGTTGGCATGATAAAGAAAATGTTTTTCTGAAACCTACATCACACCCGACCGCATCTCACGATATCTGAATAACTATTAAGCACTTAATGTGAGTAGGAACCATCTTTTTTTAAAAAAGGATGAAAATGTTTTTCTGAAACCTACATCACACCAGACCGCATCTCACGATTTCTGAATAATTATCGATTAACGGTCACTACTCACCACACATAAACAACAAATTGCTTTCGGTGTCTTTGATTGATTCATAAACTTCCCATCAATAAACCAACCACCTGGTTTTCACTGGAAAAATAGCTAAATTTGGAAATGCATATTTTCTTAGCCTTTTAAGTCACAGACCTGTGCTTGGTCTCAATTTTTAGAAAATTTTAAATTTTCTAAATGTTTTTTTAAATGTTTTTCGAGCAACATGTCAAGTTTTGATCGTTACAGCCCCTAATATTGGTGATCCGTAGCCTCTGTTAGTTTGGAGACAAATTGTGGCAAAAATGAGTCCAATTTGGCAAGGATTCTTTTTCAAATTTGATTTTAGATAATTAAGCCAGTTTAATTTGAATTAGAAGTTACCTTAAATAAGAATTTCCTTTGTGTATTTAGATTGCCCGAAAACTTGGATATGAATCTGTGAGAAAACAGCTCAGCAAATGGGATGCAATTGTGCATCGAAATCGTTCAGCTAACCAACTGGTTTTCCCGCTGAAAGACCAGCATGTTGATATAGTTAAAGAGGATGATTACAAAACACCGTTCAAGGTTGGTTGCTTTACTATTTTCCACAATGTAAAGAAATGAAGGATTTTTTTTGTTTAATTCAAATTAGGAGCCAACAGAATTGGAACAGGAAATGCAAAAGATTTTGGGCACAAGTGAAGTCGCTAAAGAAGAACTGGAAAAAGTAATTATTTATTTACAAAAAAAAAAAAAAAAAAAGATTTGATTTTACTTATATTAAAATTTTAATAGGAAAAAGAAATGATGGATCTTAATCTTTCACTAGAAGAAATGATCAAAAGGAGACAGATGATCGCCAAAATGAGAGCTAGAGAATCTTACAGAATAGCCAAAGCTGTTAGACAAAATAAGATCAAAAGTAAAAAGTGCGTAAGGACAATATTTTCATAAATCTAATAGAACGAATATTTCATAAAGTAAAATTTTTACAGATACCATCGAATATTGAAGAGAGAAAAAATGAAAAAGGAGCTCAAAGAATTTGAACTTCTTCAGAAGACTAATCCTGAGGCAGCTTTAGAAAAGCTAGAAAGAATTGAAAGGGCTCGGGCGGAAGAAAGAATGTCTCTACGTCACCGTAACACAGGAAAATGGGCTCGTAGTAGAGCAATCAGGGCGAAATACGATACTGAAGTATGCTTTTAATAGTTTCATTTTATTTGAAATAGGAATTTGATTTTTAAAAAAATTGTTGAATTTTCAGGCTAGGGCTCAATTGGCAGAACAACTGGCAAAAAGTAGAGATCTGACAAAAAAACTGAACCAGGACACAGATTCTGATAATGAGGAGGACGACACGGGGCCTGCTGATAATATATCATCAGCAGAAAAAAACAATCCTTGGGTTAAAAAGTCTGCATCAGAAATCAATGATTTCATAAGTGGCTATAGGAAATACTGGGATGAAGTTGAAAAGGAAAAACAAGAAAAAACGAATAATGTAAGTGTACAAAGAAATCGATCACTAGAAGCTGATGAGGTTGAATCTAATACATCCAATGTTATGGTCAGTGAAAATAACTCAAAAAATGAAGAAACGGACCTAGAAATCCCACCACAGAATGAAAATCAAGGTGACAAATCAAAAAGTGAGTCTGAATTAATAAGAGGTCCAGAAAATTTTAAAGGTGATGTTGAAGAATGGTCAGACGTTGAAAACAATGTGGAAGTGAGGCAGTCAGAAGATAAATTAGAAAACAATTTAAATAGTGCAAATCATGCAGCGGACAATTCATATGTAAATAATGAAAAAGATAATTCAAAAGATAATTTAGAAAATTTAAATGAAGAAGACAAACATCTGGATGAAAACAGTGAAGTTACAAGTTGTGGAGATAAACTAAATAAAGAACTTGAACAATCACTTACAATCAATAAAAATGTAGGGAAATTGGAAAATCATGAAGATAAGCACGAAGAAAAAAACAAGAAGCAAACAGAAGATGTTAATAAAAATGATACTGAATTGCTTGGATCGGAGGATGACCATATGATTGATAATAAAAGAAAAGAGATGAAGTTATCTGGCAGGTTGAAACAAAAAACTTCACCAAAAAGACTGAATAAGAAACAGAACAAACAGTTTGATAACGGGAAAGTAAATAAATCAGAAAATGAATTAAAATATGAAATCAAATCTTTTGATGTAGAAAACAATCCGAAGCCTTTATCTGTTAACGTTCAACAAGAAAGAAATCAAAACTTCATAAAGAAAGACATGAATGTAGAAAACAAGTCTGAATGCGAAACTGTGGAAAAAATTGCAAGTACCGATATTTGTGTTGAACAGGAATATTCAACGTTTATAGACTCGGGAATCGATAAGAAAACTTTGAGAAAAACAAATAAATCAAAAAAAGTTAAAAACGTTTTGAACTCAAGTGGCTCTTGGTCAGTGTTACAAGCAGAGAAAGTCATGAAAAAGTCTGTCAAAGCCCCTGAACAAAGAGCCAAAGCGGTAAAAAGGCCGAGTAGTTGGTCGATAGAAGAAATTTTTCAAGGTGTAGAAGACAAAGTTAAAAATAACGCTTTAAAAAAATTTAAAGATATACAAGACGATATGAAACTTGATATCGTTAAAGAAGTCAAAATATCGATGAAAAAGAGGGACAAATCTTCTGATCTTTCAATGAAGAAGAAACCGAAAGTTTCAATCGATGAGAAATTATTAGAGGTGTGCGAAGAAGGTGTGAGTACCGGGGAAAACGACATAAGGGGCCTTTTAGACCGGATTTCCTCAAATGAAAAAGACACTACGCAGAATCTTCCTGAAATCGATCCTGACAAGTTTTTACCGGTAAAACAGAAGAAATTGATGACACATGCACCTGAGCTTGAAGAGGAAGGGGACGATGCATCAGGCGATGAAGATGAAAAGCAAAAACACTTAAATCTCATAGAAGCTTTCGGAGACGATGATGTCGTCGATCAATTCAGGTATGAAACAAAATTAAACATTTTTATTTAAAGGTTGATTTTTCATTCTGTACATTAGGAAAGAAAAAGAAGATGAAATTAATGCAGATAAACCGAAAGATGTCGATCTCACTCTACCTGGCTGGGGGCATTGGGCGGGTTGTAGCATGCCTCCTGTTAAAAAGAGGAAAACATCAAGGAGGTTTGTCGTCAAATTTCCCGAAGTAAAACGGAAAGACGCAACCCGTCAGCATGTTATTATTAACGAAAATGTTGACGTGAGATTAAAAGATCATATGGTAAGCCCAAACCAATAACACTTTATTTTTTTTTTTTTTAACAGACATTTACATATTTTTTACAGGTAAATGAACTTCCGTATCCGTTCAAAAGTGTAAAAGAATACGAAGCTTCAATTAGAGCACCAATAGGCAACAACTGGATTCCAGAAGTTGCCCATAAAAGGCTAACTGCACCTCCTGTCCTGACAAAAATGGGTTCAATCATCGAGCCAATGGATCCGGAACAGTTGGTCAAAAATATCCAAAACGAAACTAAAATTAGCATTAAAACATAAAACCTTAATTATGTTTATTTGTAAATAAAATTGATAAATTTTACTTTTTTCAAATATTAGTTTTTTTATTTATTTAACCACAAAATAAATTATTTTGTTTGTGTGTAGAAAGCAAGTATGTACAAGTGAATAAATGGTCGCATATCTAATTTCTTTTCAGTTTTGGATAAAATTGAGAAATATTTCCAAGTCTTTTCTCTAGCAGCTTATGAAAATTATTATTTTATGATCAACTATGCCACCATATAAAAAATAAATGCTTTTAAATGTCTAAAGAAACCTAAAAAAACAAAAACAAAATCCAAATGCATGTCAACCAAACTGACTAAACGGCTCTGACAAATCAGTTCCAATATGAGAGCTCGCATCGGACAAGACTCAATTAAAAAACTTTTTTTAATGCATGGTTTTTGGGTTTGTGTTGATGACTAAGTTTTGAACCATTAAGGTCTTTGCCCACTAGAACGTACCATAACATGAGCATGTCAGGCACAAAAAAAAGTGCTCCAATCACTACTATGCCCACTTCAACAGATCAAGTTCTATACCCATAAACAACGCATACCGCACCCGATTGGTTTCCGTACAATTCTTGCAGATGCTTTGTGAAGTGTTGTAAATTTTCTTAAAAGTAAAATATGGCTGTTAAATTATCTCTATGAGAATTGGCAACGATAGCCATTATTTTGGACTAGGAAGGGGAAAATTAAAAACCAACTGTGAGACGTTACTGGATTAACGAATCTCTGAGAGAACAAAAACTGAATGAGAATATTGGAAAAGTTTTTCCAATATTTTTCTATGATGTCATTCCAATTTAATGAATTGCTGGTAAAAATTGAAATAACTTATAGTTCAAAGAAATGTGACTGATCATTCTGTCAGGTGTTGACGCAATAATGCGTATGGCAACGTTGTGTATCAAACATGGAGCATGTCACCTGCAAAATATTCTGGCTCACACGCTATGGGGTATTGGTCAGGGATGTATATGTCTACTGGTACAAATATTTCTTTGCATGAGTAAGGTTACAAATGTTTAGGGCTTATTGTTCACGCAATGGGATTTTTAACTTGGAATTCCACTGGATAAATCTAAATTAATCAGTGTATTAATTAAGATTGATGACCCCATTTATCTACTCTATTAATGATTACAAGAATATTAATTAGAGTATGCTATTTGAATGTGTTCAACAATGTTATCCTCAGCAAATGAACTATAGGTGTCATTTTTTATATTCTTTATTTATTTATTTTAAAACATTAAAAAGGAAAAATAATACATTGAATATAGTTGGTAAATAATTTTTTTCTTTTATTTGGAACAAATTAAATAACATTGTATGCACAATTTTAACTCACAATTTATATATATATTTTTTATATACAAATATTTTAGAGTTTATAACAATATATATATGTGCATGTTGCCGATCTCATCTGATGTAACTTAATTTATTGCCTCATCTTCACATATCGCAATTTATGGCTTCGTAATTTGTAACATATTAACGATGCAATAATCTATCTCTCTTTTTTTTAATATTTTAATTTATATGTTGTTTAAAAACTAAGTTTGGCTTTAGGCCAGTGATTTTCCATGTCATGTTCATGAGGTATGACTATGTTGAATTGTGTAAAATAATAAACTTAATTGTTAATAATTTTATGTACAGATAACTTCAATTAGGATTAGCTTGTACAAAGTATATGTATTTTTAATATACCTGTTTATAATGATCTGTTATTTACATTACACAATTCATGCTTCCATCCACGAATTACTATACTGTACGTGTTTTCTCTTTTAAAATTAACTAAAATACAAAAATCACAATAAAAGTAAATACCGGATGGCGATACCAACTTTGGTTATTGTCCCTCGTTTCCACCGTTTGTGATAACCTCCTCATCACTATAATGGACAGAAAGTTGATTATCCGGTCTAGATTTCTTTATTACCGAGTTCTCATCACTATTCTCACTTGACGTCCGTTTTCGTTGTCCTTCAACATTGTTGTTCACAACACTATCGCCATCTGTACCTTTAGTCCTTGGTGACGAACTGCTCGTATGGTCATTCATGGGCGAGTCTATCGAGTCAGACGATGCACCCCACTTAGAATGGGGTGCGTTGAGACCGTTTACCGATGTTATCGGGGACTTGGGCTGTGTATCCACACTACGCAATGTGCAGTTTTCTTGTTCTAAATTTGTTATCGTCTCTTTGGCTTTGCGTAATTCTTGCTGGAGATAATATATGGTGCTCTGCATCCCTTCGACATCCTCATCTAAATCTTGCAGCAGCTCATCCAGATCTAGAATGAAAATAATACAAGTCCTTATAAATAATAATAAACTAGTATAAGTAATTTTAGTTACTGAGCATATATTCAAATGAACTCTTCTCAACATTAAAATCATACTTATTTGTTTAAAACTGCACATAAAAAGAGGTTCTCACCAGATTGAGATTTTTTAACCTCTTCACTGAAGCTTTTTTGCAAAGCGAGGTCTCCTTCTAATTTGGCTAAGCGCCCTTTTGATATTGTTGCTCCCAATTCCTCATTTTCTTGGTAAAGCAGCCTGCATTTTGCCATCAGACGTTTTCCCGTATTGCTGCAAAAAGAAAGTCGAAAAAAGTAAATAATACGATCAAAATTGGGAGGTGAAAATCCTGTTTAATTTACCTATCGGGTGTAAATTTCCATGCTGCTAATTCATTTTGTGTGTCGTCAAGTTTTGTCCTGGTCTCGGACAGTTCTTGTCTAAGGCGTTGTAAAAGGAAATTGACTGCTGGATCGAGAAGTGCACTTTTTAAGGCCCCTCCACCGGGTACTTTCATTTCCGACAGCTGCCCCTGTAAGGTGTAGTACAAAAATAGAAGAAGCAAGAACAAAAAGAATAAAGTGAGAAAAAACAAACTCATTTTGGTTTAATTCAAATTTTTATGTATTTATTTGAAATATTAAAACAAATATATTTAAAAAAATAACCAGCTTGCACAATTACAAGCTGTTTTTCAACTTTCTGTTCTTTAAAAAATTCACATTTTTAATGTTTAAAATGGCTTGAAATTTGGTTTTGTGGACAAATACTCACAGCATATTCTTGCATATCCTGTTCCTTGGCAGCTAGCCGTCGCATTAAAACTCTTTCCCTTAAAGCTAATTCCGCTAGTTGGCTTTTAAGCTTTTCTTCGTTTTCTCTTAGAACGGCACATTCTCCTAAAACAATTCACAACACTTTGAAGAACTCAAAAACACCATTTCCTGTTTATATGACAAATTTAACAACTTAGTACTGGATGAAATTCCTTTGAACAAATATGGAAAACCCATGGCCTAATCATCTTCGTTGGGATGAACAGGGGAAAGGGTGAAAACAACACTTAGAAGGTACTGACAAAAACCGAAGGTTTAATAAAATTCTTTCTAGTGAAACTTACATTCCGGTTTCCAGAACATCTCAAAGAATTTTCAGTTGTGTGAAGGAATGTTACTTCTTTTTCCGTTACAACTAACTCTTGTCGGGTCGATCCGATTCTCACAACACTCATTACACTCGTGGGTATTCCCCATCCTAACACTCACATCCGACGAGAAGACAACAAAACATTATCTTATGTGTTATTTTAACTTTGATTTTCAATTATCATTTTTCGCTTATAAAAGAATATTACACAAAAGAAAACACTAACACATTAACACTTCCACTTTCTTTTTCCTCATAATGTACACTATTTTTACGTTGTGCTATATTTTACAGAAAACTTTAAAACATACATTTTATACACTATTCACATATTTTATTAAAAGGGGAAAAAAATTGAAGCCTTTTTACATACAATTAAAAACCTCAATTTTTTCTTTCAAGAACTGGAAAAATTATTTTGTCTAACATGTGGAAAATAAAATAAAATTAGAGATTCGAATATCACTAGTGAATTAAAGGTAAATTTTAATCATAAATTAATAATAATCAGTTTTGTTATGTTTGAAACAAACTTCTTCATTAGTAAGTGAAATGATTATAAATAAAAATTATATATCAACAATTATGTACATAAATAATCCAAATTTTACATACTTAACCACTTTATTTTAATTTTTTAAATAATAAAATAAAACTACCTGCTACAATTTCTAAAATGGTTAATAAATCTTAAATAAATTTGCAATGAGACTAAAACTGCTTTGTTTTCTGTACATTCAAAATTTAATTGTACGTTTTAATTATGAATTTGAAATAAAATGAACACTTGTAAAGCAAAAATTGGAAGTTTGTTTTTCAAACAAAAGAAAACGATAAACTTGACACACAATTTCAAATTATTTTTATACTGCAAAAACAGAATGTTCGGAGAACCAAACATCAAATACACACTTCATATTTCCTGTCAAATTTAAAATAATAAACTAATAGGTGCAAAACACACTTGTTTGTTAATATTTATAAAGAGAATGTATGCATATAAAGGTAAGGTATAAAATGAAAGTTAAATTTCAGCAAAGAAGATATACAGAAGATTGCTTTTAGTAATATTATTGTTAAAAGCAAAATTTCTTATTGTCGCATTTGTTAAATTATGTCCCTAATATATTTAACAATTTTTTTTCAACTTGAATATTCTGGTATCAACCATTGATTGACCAATCTTGCCTTATTTTTTAAAAATTATTATTATTATTATTTTAATGGTCCTAGCTTATTAAGCAAAGCGAAGTAATTAATCATACTATTTGTTTGGAGTAAGGGGAGTGTGAAAAAAAGGCCAGCGGTGACGGTGGGAAATGAAACCACGACCCCGTTGTCTACAAGCTGAGAGTCTAATGGGCTGATCACTTGGCTGCTGTGGTCCCCCAAAAACAATGAATTTTAAATTGCAAGGAATTGCATAACAGATTGTGCATTAAAAAGTGCACAACACAAAATTTAAATATCATCATTTTGATTTGATATGATGGTTGTGAAGACATAATGACTAAAACATACTGCAAGAACAAGCAGAATGCAGATGCAGCGGTTTAGGGTGTTGGCACAACACTCATCACTGTAAAGTACAAGTCCCATGTTCAAATCTGTTAAAAGATGTCTACCTCAAATTCTCCCCAAAACCAATTCATTAAAAAAGGAGAGGACACCCAAAAGAATGTATCTTCACAGAAAAAAATTGTTTGACAATAATTTTTTTTGTCTATTTTCCACAAGGCCATCCTTTTCAATGTCTTGATCGGAAGAGTGACAGAGTCCTTTCATTTTCAGGAGGGGGGGCCTTCAGTGTTGATGCTCGAGATTAAGTACGCAATAAACATTTCGTCAATTTTAGAAAATAAATTGACTACAGAGTGAGTGATCGTGTCCTGAATTAGGTAAGATCCCTTCCATTGTCGGGAGGGGGCCTTAAGCTGATGATGCCTGAGGTTCCATAAGTATGCTCGATTCATATCCTCATCTAATAATTATTGTTTAATTATTCTCAGATAAAATAATCATACAATAACCAGTGAAGATGGTGAAATACCGAAATGCATCAGATAGGATAGTAGATAACAGCTTGTTCGGAAACATAAGAACAGTTTATACCGACCCCCGAGGTTCTGGTCTTTTAGCACAAGAAAAGATCTTTTTCTTTTGGAAGTGCTTTGGGTTCAAATTCAGGGCTGCTGAGATTCAAACCCAAGACATTTCCAGTGATGCTTTGACCATTGGAGCTCCTTTAAGATGTTTATATAAATGTATGTATGCCGATGTTTATAAATTAATAAAATATAAATTTTAAATAAAGAAAGCATTAAATATCAAAATACCTATTGTTATCATAGCTAATATTATAACATTTCATAATTTATGCTTAAAACACAAATTAATTAAACTTTATACTTAACTTATTATTTTAAAGATTCAGTACATAAAAGCAACATCCTTATGTTCTTAGATAAGCCACATTCAATCATATAGCTGGATTAAATTTCTGTATATTTTTTCAATTAATTAATCTTTACGTAAAGTATTGATTGAGATAAAAAAAACGAGCGGGATTCAAACCCACGATCTTTGGCTAAATACGCCACTGTTTTACCACTTGAGCTATCGTGACTTCGATCCACTCGGACACTAACTTCCCATCTCAACCCCACCTTTTCGATCCTCCCCCTTTCTGTATATTCTCATAAAGCTTTATGAACAAATATTTTATCAATATTTTAAAAAGACAGTAGTTAACTTGGAAAAAAATAAATAAATACATATCTGATGTGGAATACAATTTTTTAAAATAATTTTTAAACTAAGGAAAGTGGAGAAAAGGTTAGGTCAATTTCCAAACTGATTATGACCAGACACTATGCATTTTCCAAAATGATATTATTTTTATTAAGTGACAATAAAATTGTTTATATGGACAATATGCTCGTAGTGTTTCCTTAACGTTGATTACCTCACACGTAAGCTGTAAATTTAACGAGTCAAATTACCTAGCGGAGTACTCTATCCAGGAAAAAGTCCACTTCAAGGCTAATTTTCACTTTTATTTTTTGCACTGCACCCAATTATTAACATTGCTGATGGATGGAAAAAATGCTGACTCAATATGACAGCACACCACTTTTAACTTGAACACACTTGTTTTTTACTACACTTCATCCTACCCCAGTTTTAAATATCGCAGACAAAATTTTAAAATATGGAAATCGTTTGACATAAATGTTAATGAACAGTCTCATTAACACAAATGAGTTTATATACAACATAAAAAACCCTGGTGGCAACATGATAACGCACCGTTGAAATTCCACTATTTTTCTTTTCTGCATGTTTTGCACCTTTGATGTTAGAAAGTAGAAAAAAAAAGTGAAATTACAGTGAACTACATAGTTACTCTCACTATATTTAACTGAATACAAAACAAAAATAACACATTTAAACAAAGAATACTTTACAATTCAATAATCACTTATGATTTTCTCGCTTGACTGTTTTGGTTGTCCACTCGAGTTTAAAAAAAAAAAAAATCAGTGTGAATACACAAATGCTTTTTCCGATGTAAAAACACTTTAACCATGGAAAAAATAAGACTAACAGAATGTTAACAGGTAAAAGAAGTGTTAGAAAGAAGAGTACCCACTCAATCAAAAGATTTTCTAAAAAAATTGTATGTATAACCTGGCTTAAGTAGTAAAATTTTTTTTGGTCACAATGTAAATTTAACGAAGTGCACAAGTTGATCTACCTTCGTAGGCGGAGGTCCTTGATTCTAAAACACTGACGTAACTGTCTTGTTTCCTCCAATTGCTTTTAAGTTCATCGAGCGTTATCCCGTCCAGCTGTTTCTCACTCAACTGCACTCGAGTTGCAGCATCGCCACCATTGGGTACAGGGGGATTTTCAGATGGCTTCGAGGGAGATTCTGTATCCAATTTTGCATCCAGGCCTTCACCGCCATCCTCAGCCACTTTTTCAACGTCGGCCTCCGGATTCATTTCATCCACCTCTCTCAATTTAGTACACCTAGAATGTTAAATAAACTAGTTAGTATAAGAAGAAAACATACAAGGGATTTTATATTCTAATTATGTTCGAAAATAAAAATTAATAAATTCTTAGTATAGCCTCAAAGATTTTAGTACAGAAATCATCATCTGACTCAGGCGCCTGATCTGCCTATCAGATCCGACATGTTGTAGAATTTTCAACTTCATTGGAAGTATGCTAGAATGTGTGCTGTGTTAGATTCAAGAATCATAAGATACTTTAGATTTTCACTACCCCCCCCCCCCAAAAAAAAAATCTAATATTCTAAAATATACAAGCATTAAGGTAATAATTGTGAGATTTATTCCTTTTTGGTAAGCCAGTTGGTGTGCTTGAGACACATTGAAGATGGTAAAATGCTGAAATGCGTCTGTAAACCAACCCAGCAAGGACAGATTTAAGGAGGGAAAAGTTAATATTCTTGTCAAAATTGTTTTGTAGTAACAATGAAGACTAATTTGGCTTATTTATTTATTTGGAAAAAAGTTCCAGCTTATCTAAGATATAAATCAATTAGGCATATTGTTCCTCTCTTAACCAAACTTTTTATTTACATACTTTTTTAAAATATTTACCAGAGAATGGTACTTGTGCTAATTGATTTACATGGAGGAAGGGAAGTGAAAGAAAATTACTGGGGCAATGGTGGGAACCAGCTTCATCTACGAACTGAGAGTGTAACACGCTAATTACTCGGCTATTGATTAATTCTGCGATAAATAAAGTTAAGTAAAGTTATTCCAGTTATATAAAGAACTTATTGTCGAAATACCTGTTTGGGGGTGTCACATCTTTACTTTATATACAACCTTTTTAACAAATCTTTTCACCTCAAAGACAACTCCTTACACAAAAATGTCTTTCTATACCGATTTCCTTCCCCGCCCTTTCAAAATCTAACATATATAAACATAAAACTGCAATATCTCACTGGCACTCTCAACACGACACACAAGAATGGCACAATTACGCACTAAACTTTGAGTGAGTAGAAATACTTTGAATATAAAAAATATTTTTTTGCATTGTATAAATTCCATTTTTTCCACATCCTACATGTATTTGTTAAATTTAAACAATGTTTGTAAATCCCAGGCCCTGAAGATGATCTCAATAAAGATCGAAACGTTGGCACAATAAAGAAAATGTTTTTCTGAAACCTACGTCACACCAGACCGCATCTCACGGTTTCTGAATAATCATCGACTAACGGTCACTAATCACCACAGATTTATGCACAACAATTGTCATATATAAATTTCAAGTTTAAGACTCAGAATTGCTCAGACCAATACTAGAATCAGATTTCTTTACAACGATAATGCACAAGGAAGGTTTTTCTTTGTAGTTTGCAGATTGATCAAGGGAATCATTATTTAATGCGTATATTCCTTCAAATACAATTCAGCATCTAAGATTCTTCCAAAATTAGCACGTTAAAAGTTAAATAGTGAGATTTCATCCTTGTATTTGTAAGTGGTGCAACTGTAATTTGATTGTTATTGATCATCTCAGTCTACCTCACTAAGGCGGTATGTCATATATTCAGTGTATCTGGAAGGACCAGTGACAATTAAACACACTATAATCGTCTGATGGTGAAATATAGCGCCACCATCGCTCCTCCAGCAGAGTGTGCATTAAGTGTTGATGGCAGAATATTTGTAAAAGTGCCCCATCTAATTTAGATTATTTACTACAATTGTGTGCTGGTCGATGGAGGAATATCCAGTACTCCACTGATTAACCAGAATGAGTACAAATGTATTTATTTGTGCGATTGTATTGCAGATGTTAGTATTAGGCTAGATTATATTTTACATGTGTTGGGGACTGAAATGTTAAAAGCCCCCAGAGCCTATCCTTGTTGGTTGGGAAGCGATGATCTCCTGAGCAACTGGCCCAAGGGGGATACCCAGCCGCATAACAGGTTAAGTGAACTCCCCTGAGGTACTGACCAGCACATCGGGGTGAAAGTCCAATAATATAATAATATATATTAGCAGACAGGTGTTTACACAATTTAAATTTTCTTATGATCTGAGTCCTCATCTAATAATTAATATTTAATAACTTTTTGTCCCCTGACAGATTTAACAATGACAAAATGTTATTAACCGTTCTTTACCATTGATTCTTTATTTTAACCGGTACAATAAGTTTTTAACTGGTCAAATATTTATGATGGAATCAGATTGGATATCAATAGTTGTTTTCCCAAGTAGATTTTATAACAAATGTCTACAATCTGTCAACAATATTTACAACTTGCAAGGCAACGTAGTACTTGCAGATTACTTGCATAATCTGATCGGACATGCAGTTAATTCTTGGAAACTGGGATCAGTGCAAAACCAGTATGTGAGTAGAACCTTTTTGACTATTTGCTATAAGGACGTTATATCACAATAAAGTAAAAACCGCACTGGCATCAGTTGTTACTAATCATTTTGGTCTGGTTATTCTCATTGTTTTTTGATCTGATGGAAATGTTCCAGCCTCATCATTTCAATATCAACACTCCAACTGAAGATAGGTGCCAAAACACATCTGCCACACCAAAACAGAGATGATTAGACCAAAATGATCGAAAACAATCAAACTACAATATTATAAATAAAAAACTAACTTTGGCTACTATGTCCCATCTTTTATGGTAGTAGTGAAGTAAGAGGTGGTGCAATAAACTTATGTCAAAGAAGGAAAATAAATAACTAACAAATAAGCAGGTTGAATAAATAGCATAACTAAGAGTTTTACTATAAGGTTTCACCAAAGGCTAAAAAAACGTTGCTGACATGGTATAACTTGTGAGAAGATTAATCGGTACCGATCAGATGCATGTGAATATTTATTTCAATGTAGTGAATAAAATGAAAATTGCTATTGCCTGTTAAAGTTTTGTGAAAGGCTATTGTAAGAATGTCAAATTGTTGATTGATTTTCACATTTAAGTTTTGTACTGATACATTTGAACTTTCTTTTCAATGTAAGCTAACATAATCAAAATGGCCATTGCCTGTTAAAGAACTCTACACATAACAACATTTAGATTCTGCAAAACTGCATGTTTTTCTGTTACAAGTTTCATGAAAGGCTGTTGTAAAAATGTCAAATTGTTGATTGATTTTCACATTTAAAATTTGTACTGATGCATTTATCAGATGCATTTGAACTTTCTTTTCAATGTAGCTGGTAGAATCAAAGCCTGTTAAAGAACTCGACAATTAATAACATTTAAATTATGTAAAACTGCAAGGTTGTTCTGTTAGTTTCATGAAAGGCTATTGTAAAAATGTCAAATTGTTGACTGATTATCACATTCAAGTTTTGTACTGATGCATTTGAACTTTCTTTTCAATAGTTATTCAGATATCGTGAGATGCGGTCGGGTGTGATGTAGGTTTCAGAAAAACATTTTCTTTATCGTGCCAACGTTCACTCAGCATCTCACGATATCTGAATAACTATCGATTAACGGTCACTAATCTCTACACATTTCTTTTCAATGTAAGCTAATAGAATCAAAATGGCCATTGCCTGTTAAAGAACTTGACTCTTAACAACATTTAAATTTTGTAAAACTACAAGTTTTTTGTTGAAGTTTCAAGGCTATTGTAAAAATGTCGAATTGTTGATTGACTTGTCACACTCAAGTTTTGTACTGATACATTTGAACCGTCTAGCCACTGCTTCTGTAAGAACTCTACGTACTTAACAGTTTCAAGAACTTCATACAAACGCTTTAATAAAGTGTTTCAACGAATAGTTCGCCACGCTACAAAGAAAATAATATTTATTTACAATAAGCGTAAGAATGTTGATCAACTGACAAAATATGGAACATGCAACTAATTAACTTTAAATTATCAAATAACATTGGTTGTTACCTGTAAAGTATGGTAATAAATATGTTAGCATAAGGTCGATCAGTTTGAAAAGAAAACTGCGGGTTAATTGTGATTGATGTAATTATTGAACTTTTACTGAACTTTATATTTCAACAGTTTTTAACTGAAAATATGTCGGGATAGTTGGATTTAAAGGAATTCCGTAAATAAACCTTCCCGAACTCTTTCCGGCGAAAGTAAACAAGGGTCAACAAATTTAGGCCCTTTTTCAACATGGCCTTACATATGGATTTCAGCGAAGGGGGAAATTTTCCAAATTTAAGCAGCCTTTTTTTGTTTTTTTAACAATCCGGGTGCGACTCGTTTCCGAGTGGGGAAAAATATTACGGCCAGGTTTATAGACATCACGCGGGCTAACCAAGAACATGTAGCATATTTTCGACGCGTGAGGGCCGCCGCGCCGTGAGGTTTGGAGGAATCGGACGAAACGTCTCACGCGGTTAGGCCTCACGTCGGCCGACGAGAAACGTCCGAAGAAGCCCTGGGAAAAATGATCGGCCGCCGAGCTTAGGCGATTGTGCAAAAAGGAAAAAAAAGAAGGCTAGTTTAAAAAAAACCATCTTGGAGACGCTCTTCGTAGTATTTCCTATTCTCCCTGTTAACAGTAATCAATTCAAGACAATAAAAGGTTATACAAATTAAACTGTCAATTAAAAACCTTTCTTTTTCCATTTAAAAAACGGAGTAGAGCTAGTCGTGCAATAAGTTCAAACTCTTGAAAATAAGGAGGTTACCTACTTTTTCAATTTCCATCGAGTATGAAAGCCCCTCTCGTAGTTATCCCCTCGGCAAAACGTCCGCGCGGAGCAAAACACACAAGAAACTACAGAAATAATTATTTATTTGTCGAGACGGCCATCAAGACTAAGCTTAACTAAAAAGATACCAACACTAAAATAGTTGACACAGTGTTGCCAATGGCAGTAGGCGGCGGGTCGGATCCAGCGACCGGGTTCTCAAGAGGAGCGGCTCGGCGGATTTTCTGTCTGACCGGATGACGGGTGTGGAGAATGAGGACGCTTTGACCAGCCCGGGATCGGAATTGTGGAAACACTTTGGACGAATGTGGACAATTCGAGGGAGGGCCCGGGAAGCGGGGGCCCGGTTTCGACGTCATCTGCCGGCAGAGTCGCCGCTTAGTAATAACGGGTATCCACTTTCGCCTCGGCTAGTCAACCGGATTAAATTTGGCATTTGTTTAAACTAAAATACATTTGTAATTTGATCCTTACCGATCATCTTGGTCTACCTACCACCGCTCGAGGATGGGTAATCTGAGACGATCGGCAAGGAACTAATAACAGACTCATCGCGCCGCCGACTACAGGATGAAATCTTACAAAGAACCAGATACTAAGTGATATGTAAGTAGTTCGGGTAGATATATGATTTAAATAAACAAATCAAATTTTACGATTTGTTAGCAAGGGTTACGCATTTTACAAAAGCATACAGTACAAAAATAAAGGTAGAAAGAAAAGTTAAAGCACAAAATATTTGTGTGTTTGTTTCAAACATAGCCACACACTATGGCTGATTATTATTATTATTTCTTTTTTGGTACCTGTTCCCATATTATTAATTGCAGTTATTCTATATTTAGGTAGTAGTATTATTTAATTAATTAATACTTCTACAAATAATACATATTATGTGTGCGCCTGGCTCTCTTTTACTCTGCCTTTCTGTGACTTAATTTTTGCTTTTTTGTGGCGCTCTCCCTCTCTCTCTCTCTCTCTCTCTCTCTCTCTCTCTCTCTCATCGTTTCTTTCTATTCTTGTCTTTTTGTTTGTACTCAAGTCCTTCCTCCAAACTCTCACATTTTCTCTCTCTCGCTTTCAAACCTTTTCTTTCTTTCCCTACCTTTTTATTTTTACTCATGGTCCTACTTCCCCCTTTCTCACTCTCTCTTTCTTCTCCCAAGCTTTTGTAAAACTTTTTCTAACTTTCCTTGTCTTTTTATTTTTACTCATATCCTTCCTCCACACTCTCACTCTCCTTCTCCCAAACTTTTTTCTAACTTTCCTTGTTATTTTTAAATCATGTCCGTCCTTCCTCCACGTTTCTCCTTTACTCAGAGAGAAAGATAGATAGATAGAGTGAGTGAGAGAGAGAAAGAGAGAGAGAGAGAGAGAGAGAGAGAGAGAGAGAGAGAGAGAGAGAGANAGAGAGAGTGAGAGAGAGAGTGAGAGAGAGAGAGAGAGACAGAGAGAGAGACACACAGAGAGAGACACAGAGAGAGAGAGAGAGAGAGAGAGAGAGAGAGAGACTTGAGTTAAAAATAAAAAACAGGAAGAGTTAGAAAAAAGTTTGGGAGAAGGAGAGAGAGTGTGGAGGAAGGATATGAGTAAAAATAAAAAGACAAGGAAAGTTAGAAAAAGTGTTACAAAAGCTTGGGAGGAGTGCATGAGAGATTCCTTGTTCGGTTTTCATTCTTTGTATTTCTCGTTCTTCTTGCAGCACTTGGCAGGCATTAGACCTTGCATGGTGATTACCTTTACAATTCACACAGATTGGTTGGTCTCTGCATGGCTGCCCTTCATGAACAGGAAGTCCACAAGAACAAAACGATATTTCCGATTTACATCGTACTGCCGTATGCCCGAAGCGAAGGCACTTACTTAAAGCACCGCATTGCTGCCGGGACATACGGACGTACTGAAAACCTCTGGTAGATCGCCTTTATTTCTTTTGGGGGAGTCGGGGTGTCGAATGTCAGAATCAATGAGTTCGTTTCAACGATCCCTTGTTCTGTTTTTCTTTTTATTCTTTTTACATCCGCTACCCCTTGATCCGCGAGTTCTTCTTTGATTTCTTCTTCAGGGCATACTCGCAAATCTCGGGCAGATATTACGCCCTGAGAAGTGTTTAGTTTATTGTGTGGGCGAGATGTAACGTGTATTTTTTCGCCAAGACAGACAGTCTGTTTAAGCATAGTTGCTTGTAGCCTTTCGTCTACATCTATTAACAGTGTCCCTGCAGCAGTTATTTTAATATATTTAATATTCTCTCTCAGAATTCTGATTATTCTGCACAATTTTATTGGCGAATCTCCTTTGAAATCTCCCTCTTTTTTCTCTATACTCCAAAATCTCGGGAATCTTTTCTCTCTTTCATTTTGAACATCCATTTCCAATGTCTCATTTCCAGATTTCTTTAAGATCCTTTTCCTCTTTCGAGGGGCTGCCGGATCAAAAGGAAGCATCGTGATGACTTTCGAAATTTCAGTTCTTGCACTTGTGGTTTCCATGCGTTGGACAGCGCCACTCGCTCCGCTGCTCCAACGGGTTCTTGGGGAGACCCCCATCCACAGACTCACCGGCATTCGGGACTTCCGGAACTACGTCCTCTTGTAATGGTTTAGGAGCAGGCTTGTATTTCGGGTGACAGGGAAGCTACCCCTATCACCCTAGCCGTTCCGTGGGGCTGCCACTTAGGTGGAACGGCACACCTCCTCCTCCCTAGACCCTGGGACGCCGGGGATAGGAAAAAGGATTGGTTAGTACGGGAATGAGTAGTTACAGGGAGTAAAAGGTAATGTTAAAGGGTTAGTAAAGGGGATGGGGGTTAAGGAAGGCCGCCAGGTACGGGAGGGGTATATGGACGCAGTTTTACCTCATGCCCGAGAGGAGGCTCTTTATTGTTATCGTCATAATTATAAATTATTTCTAAAAATATCAATGACGTATCATTCTTACAGAAGAATGCCCTTATTCGTTAGGGTCGCTTTGCGGCAACGAATTAGGAAATGTTCTAAAAAATGAAAAAAAAAGCAAATTTTGGAGAATAAGCTATGTGGTATGTTTTGCCACAAAGGGTGTTCCAAGTTCCAAATTGGTTTGGCAAGGTCCAGAAAAAATTCTTGCTACGCGTTTTGCTATTTCTAATAGTCTTTTATCAAATAGATTTTGTTAAACGATATCATAGGATAAATTCGCAGAAATTGGGAAAACATTGATTCTTTCCTCATCCAATTTAAATCTCTGACGCTTGTTAATGTCAATGGCATTTTACGTTTTGTTTTACGGACGGTAATTTCAAAACTTCAAGGTTTTTGATCTGAAGAAAAAAAAATATACATATGCCATTAAAAGAGGTAAAAGCACTTTGAAATTTTTATTAATTAAACTATTTATTGTAACAAGGACTTTCGTTAGCCATTAGGAATAATATTTGGGTCAATTGGCTGTCGTTCAGGGTTTTTAATTAAATATATTTTTATTTATATAAATACTTCAAGGAGGTTTTCCGTTTTTCTAAACAATCGGACAGCAGGATTAAAAAGTTTATGATTTAGAAATTGGTTTTAATATCATGGATTTTATCTTTTATTTGTATTTGTTATGTAGAACTTAAAAAAATTATGGCCCTTAATAATGAATTTAATAGAGATGAGGCGATTTTGAAATATGTCGGTGAATATAGAATAAACATGAAATGAGCGTGCTAGTTTGAGAACGACGGATATGGTCATGTAAGAAAGATCTAGTTTAAAAACATGTTATTGGATTTCAACTTCTAGGGTTTCCTTAAATTGTTGTTTCACTGTTACGATACTTGCATCATCCTTTTCTTTCTACTTTATTAACACTAGTCAAATCATCGACCATCAATGGGAAATTTTTTTGTAGAAAAATTGCGATATCGCAGAATCAAAAAAATCATGACGTGTCTACGAGCATTTTTCAGTTTAAAATATTTCTAAAACATTAGGAGGATATGAACAAAAAACAAACGATTAAAAATAACAATAGTCGAAACAAAAGTAACAGACTTGGCCAAAATTCTGTGAAAATATCTTTCAAATTGATATTTTCCATTATTCGAAGAAATGTAAAATTTTAAGAAATGTTAGATAAGAAATTTCTAAATAAGAAAATCTTTGCTTTTCCACTACTCTCGCTTTCTCTCTCTCACTCACTCTCCCTCTCTCTCTCTCTCTCTCTTTCTCTTTTTCACGATATTTATTTTAGATGAAGAGGTCCTTGAGACCAAATCTTGCTTGATCATCGAATAAATCGTTTATTCATTCACTCACTCTTTCATCAAACAAATAATCACAATCTCTCTCTCTCTCTCTCTCTCTCTCTCTCTCTTTCTTAGTTATTTATTTCACCTATTCACACACCCATTTATAGAATGCAAGAATTTATTTTGTTGAAAAACAATCGAAATTGTCATTACAATCGTCACATGCGTGTTGTAAAAATGTTTTACTAAATCTCATTTTAATTAACACGATTTCTTCAGTTAACATGATTAGCGGGTTTCAGGAAGCCAGAGGTTGTCATTCTATTCACCAAACATTAACATATCACTCGCAGTTCGATACTTTTTGATTTTGTTTTTAAAAAGTTTTTCACGTTATTTTTTTATTTTTTCTAGTCACACATTATAAAATTTAATAGACCAATATAATTACACGCAATTTCACACTTTTTGAAATTCAACCTCTCAGGCAGGGGACCGCGGTAGCCGAGTGGTTAGCATGAGAGACTCGAGAGAGGTCACGGTCGTGGGTTCGATTCCCACCGTCGCCTCTGGCCCTTTTTTCCCGATAACCCCCAATTTGAACACACAATAATTCGTACTATGGCTAATATGCAAGATCATAAGGCCTCTCAGGTACAATTTTATCACTATTTCTAGTGAAATGACTGTGCCAAACTTGAATTGTTTTAAGTGTCTCTCTGTTTATTCAAATATACAGGGTGCCATTTTTAGATCTAGTTTCAAATTTAATTACAAGAAGAAAGGTAGAAAGAAAGTTAAAGCACAAAAATATTAGGTGTGTTTGTTTCAACCATAGCTACACACTATGGCAGATTATTATTATTTTGGTATCTGCTCTCATATTAATTACAGTTATTCTATATTTAGGTACCAGTACCATTTAATTAATTAATACTTTTATATATATTACATATTATGTGTGCGCCTGGCTCACTCTCTTTTGCTCTGTCTTTCGGTGACTTAATTTTTGCTTTTTGTGTAGCTCTCTCTCTTTCTCTAACATAT